TAGACGGTCAGTTCTGTAACAGTGCCTGGCATCAGGGAGAAACACAGCCAGACAACAACATAAGTTAGAGGGGCCAACGTCCAAGGAGGGTGGCAGGAGGGATGGTTGATGGGACCAACAACCACCGACTTTCACCGCCGGTCTTTGCTTCCTGTATGAATGTGAAGTCGAACCCTGTTATTATTTCTAAACCCAACCATGTGCATTTGTACATTTGAAAGAGACTGTATGCAAACTGTACATTTCCTGTGAAAACCGAAGTGTATCTTGAAAACAGACAATGCATGTAACAGGCTGAAGTTGACACGGCGTCCCAGAACGTCAACAACCAACACACCCAGGGTACCTTGGACGTCATATGTGGACGTGGAAAGTCCATGACCAAATATCAATATGCGACAAGGTCATAGTGAGAATGTGTTGTCCTAACAGCGAGCAAGCGTCTCTCTGTCCACACCGAATCTGTTAAATACGCACTTCTGTAACATCATACAAAACAGACCACTGAACTTAACAGCTGTCCGCTCATGTAAACAAACCACGTAGAATATTAGCTCAAGATACTATTTTAAGATGTGACCACTTAAAATATTGGTGAGTACTTCATGTCTTCCTGCGTTTGTACTTTTTAAAAAGAAAACACGTTTCATATTGTAATACCAATGAAAACATACAGTATAGCCAACAGGAAGTAGGTTGTCGCCAGAAATTCAGCTCTGTTTTGCAGGCTCTGGTCAGGTTTGGGTCATTGATTAACGTGTGTGTTTACAGGTCGGGCAGATTGGCTCTGATAATGGGCCGGGTTCATGTGGGCTTACCTGTGCAACACTACTTCCTGCATGAACGACAAAATAAGTTATTTGTCATTGCCTTCCAGAATAATCTATCTGCCATCATGTTTAATATCTGGTTAAGTTGTGGTAACTAAAACAACTTGGTTCAGGTTTGGGAAGGATCACAGCCATGGTTCATTCACTGCTGGTAGACGACGGGACACAAATGACCCTCTGGTGTCAGGGAGAGGAAGTCAGACGGTTTGACTCTCTGCCACTTGATCATGCCAAGTTTTTCCAAACAAACCAGTTTTACAAAATGAAAAGTGAAACCATCCACAGTGAGTTAATGTAAGACAAGCCTTCTTAATGTCATTTCAAACCTAATGTAGGGTTATGGAGTCCAGGTCTGTCAGTTAATCAGACTGCAGAAAGAGAACACAGCAGTATTCTGGGTCAAGTGAGGACAGCTGGGATCAGCTGGTTCATCCAAAATCTAATTTACACACTTTTATGTAATCTGTGTTTTCTTGTTAATGTCATTGTACTTGGACAGCAACACTTCTGTATCCTTAATCTGTCCATTTTATCTGCTTCGTACATTTATCTCGCCAGCTTCTAACTTTAGTTATTTTATTACAAAGCACTTATCGAAACAGACACAAAGTGTCCCACAAAATAAATTAAATTATGAGCACTTAATAAAAATATGAAGAACACAGTACACTAAAGATGACTGCAGAAGAACTAAAACCATAAATGAAATAACACATGAGCGTAACCTCAAAGGGACAGTTCACGCCAACATTTTTTCCCCCTCTTAACTGTAGTGCTATTTTTGCCTGAACTTGTAACACTTAGTCGGACATTGTTTCCGCTCCGACTGATTTTCATGGGGGAGGGAGATTGGGTTTTCCCTGATCATTCATTAGAGACCCACATATCCACCTGAATCTAATGTCATTTACGCCTGCAGTGTGCCAAGTAGGCAGAGTCTGCACATCATTTGACATTTATCGAAGCCAGCGGAGATACACAGGAGGAACTACTGTGGCTTTTGCCCTGCAGGTCATGGTTGCTGCTGCAGGTTGACAGATTACACTTAATTTAAACAGCAAAGTAAAACAAACAATTATGTCGGACAATATTGAGAAGACAGTTGACTAAGCTTCGTTAGCAGCGTCTATCTTGTCTGTAGCGCCCGCCATTGTTGTTAATACTCCTAGTTGGTTTCAGTGCAATGCTTGACAATGGCGTTAGTCCCCCCTAGGGTGCTGATTGGTTAATTGTTATTCCCCCCATGGAGCTCATTGGTTGGTTTTTATTTTAATCGAGAAACTGCTGACGAATCAGTCAACCTGAACTGAGTGTAGTGGGCGGATTCAAAAGTCTGGACCCAGGCAAGTGCCATCAGTCTAGATTGGTTTGGTGTGAGTTGCTGAGTGTTGGAGATATCAGCCGTAGAGGTTTCTGCCTTCTCTCCAGTATAATGAAACTAGATGGCATTCAGCTTATGGTGCTCAAAGCACCAAAAGATACATATGAAAAACTCACCAGCAATGTCTCCTTGAAATTATGAAGTGTGCAACCACTGCTAGCTCACCTAGCACCACTAAGCTAGCTAACGTTACAGCTCAGCCGCGGAGGATGACCCATTAATGTTTACATCTCGCACTGTCACGAGCACGAGCTTCTCATCTAGAGGAGATGCACGCTTCCTTCTGTGTGGTGATTTGGATCGTGGATGTAGTTCAGTTAAAAGAGTTCCTACATGAAGCTGCTCACAACAAGGTCTGTGGATTATCTTGGTCATGGTTTCTGGAAAGAGACATTGCTGTTGAGTTTTCAAATGTAATTTTGGGAGGCTTTAAGCACCACAGGCAGAGTGCCATCTAGTTTAATTACACTGGACAGAGGGCAAACATCTCTGTGGCAGATGTCTCCAACCGCCAACATCAAAACTATCTGGACTGATAAACAGCGCTACACGCAAGAGGAAAAATATCTATTTCCATTTTGGGATGAACGGTCCCTTTAACGCTCTTAATACTGGTAGAATCAGTAGAAGCAGCATTTTCCCTACTGGTTGTTGTAACAGTAATAATAAATATCGTAGTAGTGCTATCATAACAAGCTGTTCTAGTTGTAGCAGCAACTTGAAGAGGAAGTAGGAGTAGGAGCTGAGTACTAGTAGCAATAATAGACATAGTATTAGTGTTAGTATATGCAGCAGCAAGAGCAGAGGTAGAGCTGCCAACTGGACCGGTAATAGCAGTATTATCACTGTTAATGTCACCATCACTGCAGTAGAAGTAGAACAAGTGCAGAGGTAGTGATATCAGGAGTAGCAGCACCATTAACTGTGGCAGAAGCATTATTATTAGTAGTAACAGTACACATTGTAGTGGGTTGTAGTGGCTGAGTAACTGAAACCTCACCAGAACTGCCCATCATGTGGTTACCCACCAGAAACAGGCTTGAGGCCCCGTTTGGGCCCTGAGCCACAGCCATAGTTTGAGAAACATATCTGCGGTCAGAGAGAGGAACAGTATGTCACTGTAACTGCACTAACGAACAGACTCCAAACAGCTTAACTAGACCCATAATTCCATTCACTGGAACCAGGAGCTGCAGTTTGCCCTGGGCTAGCCAGGCGGATCTGGCCTCAGTTAGGACAGTGTGGCTGGCTTTCTGTTTCCATCACAGCAGCAAAGTCAGAATTGCTTTTATTCATCAAGCACGGCACACAGACGAGAATTTGTCCCCGTGACAGATTAAAGAGAAAGTGTATTTTTTTGCATTTAGTGTGGCGTTGCTCTGGAGATTTCAGCAGGCCTAGCTGAGGTTAGCCTAGCTGGCCTTCACCCTCAGCCATGTCCTCCAGCTCCTCCTGGGGATCCTGAGACTCTCCGAAGTCTGCGTCAATGGACTCCTCCCTGCTGGACATACCCAGAATGCATCTACAGGAAGCTGTCCTGAGCAAATACTGAACTACCTTAATAGACACCTTTCAACATAAAGACATGCTGGTTCTACTCTGTGTTCTTTGCAGATATCTCAGCTCCTCATTCTGTCTCTACAGCTGAAAATCAACAAAGAAAACTAATTTCTGCTGCTTGCATCTGAGTCTTTGAGGCACTAACCAGAGCTCATGACCATGGGAGAAGCTTTCAAACATCAGGGTTCCCAGGGTCATACAATTCCTGGAAAAGTTATAAAATCAGAAAAAATCTTTTCCTGGCCTTGAGATGGCTTGGAATTGACAGAATGTTTTGGAAAAGTTTTATCCAGTCTCACTCCAAAGTTGTCAAAAACCAATGCTTGGTCAGTGACTTCCGGCATCAGATACCGACACAAAAAGCCATCCTTTCATGTCAGCATGATTCACTGTGATTGTTTAATAGCGCCCAGCGGCATCAGGGAGGCATGCACATCTGCAACAAGAGAGACAAACGGTGCAGAAGTGGCCAACAAGAAAAAGACAAAGTGAAAATATGTGGCAGCGTTGTCCTTTTAAAATCTTCCACAACAAAGAGATGGTAATATTAGCTTATCCAGGAATGCACAACAGCAGTGATGGTGCTGCCTGCAGAGTGCAATTTAATTGCTGCACAGTATAATTTCATAACTCAGGTAGCTATGGTGCCAAATGTAAGATGTGGGCAAAGAGTGGTGACAGCCTTGAGAGGTAACTGCAGTTGAGAGAAACAAGTGAGCAAATGCGTCAGACATAGTGTGCAAGGTTTATGTGCGCAACAGTTTTGATCAAATATCAGAAATGCTTATGCACTTGGTGTGCAAATGCCTTTAGATTGGAGTCCAGGACAGATGTTAAGGGTTCAGTGTGCTTCACTTGGGGCGGCAGGTGAAGGATTGAACCGCAAAATATTTACATCCTGTTTTTGTTTCTGACTCCTTCTACTTCAAGTGCTAACGCTGTGAGTTCAAAAGAAAGTGTAATGGAGAATTAAAAATGAGTTAGAAATACTTCAGTCACTGCTGTAAGAGACTCTGATTTAACTTGATGTTGATGTGTTTAAGTTAACATGCTAGTTTCACCAACTTTAGCATAACCCAGTTCAGTTGTAAGCAGTGTATGAAAGCACTGTGGTTTTGATCTTCCTCATTTAAGGGAACTTTTATTGTGAAAGTCTTTCTCCAAACCCGTTCTCTCGGAACCACCAAATACCTGCGTAACCAGATCATTTCTGTCTGTTTTGTCTCCAGTAAATGTCCCAGCCACGGTGGTGGAAGCCATGACCAGGCAGGAGTCCCTCCAATCCTTCAACAAGAACGGCAAACCCTCTTCCTCCTCGTCTTCCTCCTCTTCCACCCCCTCCACCACCCTCATGCGCTCCATGGTCTTTCCTCATTCACCTTGCCCGAGGAATTTCTCCCTGTTGGACAAGGTCGGGGTCGGGGTTCAGTCGGACTCCAGTTACGGCCAGTTAGGGTCCAAGAACCAGCGAGTCCTGGCGAGCCCGACCTCCACCAGCCAGCTGAGCAGCGACTTCAGCGACTGGCACCTGTGGAAGTGTGGCCAGTGTTTCAAGACCTTCACCCAGAGGATCCTGTTGCAGATGCACGTCTGTCCGCAGAATCCAGACAGGTAAGATGGCATCAAATAAGATGCTTCATTTCTTCTCTTGAGTCCAAAAGTCTTTATTAACAGGTATGAGGAGACTGTAATGTACTTCCTGTCTACGCTTGAAAAAACTACCAAACCACCAAAGTTGACGTTGACATTTAGCTCGAAAAACATTAATAACATCTATCAGAGTTCTCTAAACAGCTCCAAAGCCCAACACCATTGTATCAGCTTTAACATTGGGCCCCATGGTGCACATGTCTTGGTGAAAAACATTCAGACTTTGATGCACAAGTTGCTTCAGAAGTTTGCCAATTTATTTTTTGAGCTTCAAAGTTTTGATCAAATCAAGATTTTGACTACTAAGAAAGCATTGTGGATAAATGTAATATGTATCTGCAACATTGATAGCTGTTATTACGGCCCTGAGATTCCCAAATAGAGTGTTTTACATTTCAAGACTCTGATTTCTCCCATCCAGGCTAGTTACACAGTTGTTTCCTGTTACTTCTGATGGCTGTAAAGAAAAGAAATTTAGATTTTTCCATCCATGTCCTTGAAGGTATGGAGGCAAAACTGACACTTATAAATGACACTTACACAACATTAGTGTCTGTGTATCTCTTGTAATATAACCAGAAACACTTGTATTTGCATTAACGTGATGAATATGACACAGCATTCGAGTTTTTAAAACCTGTTGTCGCAGTTTTTCAGAGGAAGCCGGCAAACCAGACGTTTAGTTTAGCTATTTATTACTTTGCTTGTCTCATCATCACACAGTTTGTGTGTGACAGAAAGTGGGAGTTTGTGGATAAGAGTGAAGAGAGTGTAAAAGTGTCTGAGTGTGTATAACATCTGCCAACTTAATTATATACAGCGTGGAGGGAGGAAGAGGAGATGTGGTGTGTGTGTGTGTGTGTGTGTGTGTGTGTTGGGGGAGATGGAGGATGTATTGGAAATTTTTTGCTTAGCTTTATTTTTTTGCAGGGAGAGTCAGAGCGGCGTATAAATCAACGCTGTGCGTCAGTGAGAAATACCTCGCCTTACGGTGACGGGGCCAGGAAAACAGATGCCACTTATTCAATAAACTAATACTCATAGGGAAGAAAAATGTGTGCTGGATATGGAGGGGGGAGGGAGGGTCGATGTGGAGCTGCCTGTCAATAGGAAGGTTTTATGGGACAGAGGAGCAGATCAGATTCAGCTGAACAAGCCAAACAGGCCTGAGTCCTGGAACTTCAAGGCCTCACTGTGCCTCACACTGGTGTGGACTGGGGTTAGACCAGTATGCCCATCACAGCATCACTCCACCTACAGTCCTGTCACTTTAGAGCTTTCACCTGAATGTTCATCAGTTGTAGGACATCCAACTCAAACCTCGTGTTGTCACTCAGAGACTTTTTTTCTGCTCCATCATATACACAGAAATCATGTGCAAGTATGGATCATTACACAGTTTTAAAAGTAGCGAGAAGTCACACAGTGAGAAAAAGTTAATGATGTATAGAAATCTAAAATTTTGATGCATCAAATGCATCAATTGTTTTATAGATCGTATCATCGGAATTGAATTGAATCATAAGGTGCCTTGAAATTCTGCCCCTACTTTGGGATGCTTCTAAGAATCAAATTATCAAATTTGTTCCCATCAATGCTGGTGAGTCAGATCAACTTGGAAAACTCTTTGGTACAGTTCCCATTGAAGATTGTCTTCCTTAGTGTTTCAAAAGACACACCAAGATGACGGTCAGCTGACGGGTCAGTGTTGGGCTGTTGCCCTAGTCGGTGCAGTGTGTCCTGCACTGTTGCCCTGTGGGCGTTTTTTTTTTTTTTTTTTTTGGCCGAATCAATATGTTCAACTGGCATCGACAGAGACAGTGAAGCCTGTCAGCGAATGAAATCACTCTGATTGTCCGTTCAGCTCAGCACACCAGAAGAGAAACAGAAGTGAGGAAAGTAAACAAAGAGCTAAAGTCAAGCAGCAGTGAGATCAAAACAAACTTGTTCCATAAGGTCAGATTATTTTTCTCTTTAGTGGATTGTTTCCTGATGGTTTGTGTTATTGTTTACTGGTGCACAGTGAACATGCTCTGTTCTTTCAACATTGGATTGTGTTGTAAATGTGCTAACGGGCTAACTAGCATCAAGACGGTCTTAGGATTTCCATTTTTAAATGATGATTACAGTCTACTGCCGCCTGCTGGTGTGGGGAGTTACTTCCTTTCACGCATGCACAGAACGTACATGCTGGTTGACTGTCGCCTGTTGTCTTTGTGGTGTGTTCATGTGCAACTGTTTTGGCCGAGACATAGTGACAACAGGCGACACAGAAGGGGGCCTTTGTCACCACTTGTTCGTTGAAGTCTGTGTGGTGTTTCTCGGCCTTAAAAGCAATCACAACAGTCTTTTTTGCAAGCATCCAACAACCAAGGCCCCCATGAGTCTAAGCCATAGATACACTGTCAAAACTACAACTTGACAAAAGTACTCCTTTTTCTCAGGCTGTTAAAACTCTAGTTAGTGTCTTCTACAAAGGCACCACTAATTGAGTTTTTGAGGTTCTATAGTTGGTTCAGGTGGCCCTTAAGGACGTCCTACAGCTTCTCTAGGTGACAGGTGTGGTCCTGTCCTGTAGAAGTCCTGTAGGTGGTTCTAGCTGTCCTGTAGAAGATTCTGGCAGCAACTGAGGGGTCCTCGAGATGGTTCTTGTGGTCATTGTTCTTGGTGGTTCTTGTGTCATTGATCTCAGGGACCTACAAGAGGTTCTGGTGGTCCTTTGGGAGATTCTTACAGTGACTGAAGACATTCTGCAGGTTTCTTTAGGTGGTTATAACAGCTACTAAGGAGGTTCTAGCTCAGGTTTAGGTGCTTTTTGTGGTCAGTAGTGTTTGTAAATTTCCTTTAGGTGGGTACTGTGGTCCTTCTGGAGGATCTTGGGGTCTTACAGGAGGTTTTGGTGGTCCCTTGGGAGATTCTTGCTCTAATCACAGGTGATCTACAGGTCTTTAGGTGGTTTTAACAGGCACTGAGGAGGTTCTAGCTCAGGTTTAGGTGGTGTTTGTGGTCAGTAGTGCTTGTAAATTTCCTTAAGTTGGTTCTTGTCGTCTTCTGGAGGATCTTGGGGTCCTACAGGAGGTTCTGGTGGTCAGTGGGAGATTCTTGCAGTAACTGAAGACATTCTACAGGTCTTAAGGTGGTAAGGCCACTGAGGAGGTTCTAGCTTAGATTTGCTTGTACATTTCATTTAGGCAGTTCTTGTGGTCCTTAAGGGGGTTTTAGGGGTCCAAGGAGCTTTGAAGCTTTGACTGTACTAACATCCTTTATGTTGTCAGTCACCCAAACTACCTATAAGGACACTAATGTCCATCTTTAGACACTAAACCAGTTTGGCTGTTTGGCTTTTCTTTTCTTTTCCTTCTTGATTTCTTAACGCCTCTCTCCCCCTCTCCTCCCCCCTCCCCCTCTCCCTTCATACATATTTATTGATGTTTACTTGATGGGAACATTTGGAGCTGAAGACTGATGGCTCTTTATATCAGCTTAAAAAAAACACCACACACCTCCTCTCAGCTCCATCTCTTTCAGGTTTGTTTTTTTCTGCTGACTGTTTCTTTTTCTGAACTTTTTCGTCTTCCGTGTCATTTTTTCTCTCCCCCGAGTGTCATTTCAACAAAATCCATCATCAGAGGTGCAGTTTGTTTATGTCAGTGAGGCCTTGGAAGTGCTTTCGATTCAGCTTTAAACTGGTGTCGGGATGTAGGATACTGTTTAAGTTTTGTGATGACGATGAGTGATGGATCAGGAAAGAAATCGGAACATAAATGGACTGCGTTCCCACTCACAGCTTTGACGTGTTACAAAAGCAACTCAGTATAAACCACCGCAATGAACAAAATTAATAAGCACTGCTTTTATGATTGATGTGTTTACTGCAGTGGTGTTTAAAAGCGTCATTAGTGCTTTAACTGAAAATGGTGTACTGTTGCTAAGCACTTTGATCTCCAGTGCTCACAGTTCAGATCTCATTCTGGTGGTTCATGTTGTTTATGAATAGAGCATGCATGTGTATATGGATATAATCATGCTTGTAAATCAAAGGACAGAAAGTTTACAGCTGATTGAAAGTGTGCATCATCACACAGTTGACTTAATGGAGGAATTAAATGTTAATTTTGTCATTTGTTTTTATTATCTAGCACTGCCTTGTCAATGACTGGCCCATCACATTGTTCTTCAGTTTTTCCAGAGGTACAGTCAAACATTTAACATCCTGTATTACTCATGTAAGGACTAAACTCACATGAGGAATGGAGCATGTTAATGTTTAACTCCATCACTTGAAAACCTGAAAAATATGAAGCTCAGATGAGGCAACACTTGCTGGTAAAACTTTTGATTTTGTCATGTGAGTGATGTGAGATTTATTTTCATGGTGAAATTTGCCATTTGAGTTTGACTTCACAAAGTCCTGCCCCTTGAACGCAGACTGGCCAGTCGTAGCATCACATCGGCCAAGTGCGACAAGGTTTGGTCATGCAGTCATTTCCGATTTCCTTCCTGGATTTTGAGCTAAATGTTTTGCCTGTGGCACGTGTATTAATGATACTCATTACCTGGAGAACTTGAAAGGAGATAAACGTGTCCTTCCTGTTCTAAATCCAAAATCAAACCCTGAAACATGTAGGGTTAGCTACCTAGCTACTGAAGATATAGCCTACTGAATGTATACACATGCTCCTGTTGATTTTTAAAGATGATAAAGAGCGACCCTGCTGTACAGGAACCAGTGAAGGGAGGCAGGGAAACTTTGCTGATATTCAACCAGCTGTGTGTCATCTCAGTGTGTGCAGATTACCGTTCCCCCATCTGCCAGCAGAGGTCTAGTTATATTTGTAATAATAGCTGGGGTGGCTGTGGCCCAGTAGGTAAAGCCAGTTGTTCAGTTAACGGAAGGTCGGCTCCTCCAGTCCACATGTCGAAGCATCCTTAAGCAAGATACTGAACCCTTGATGGCTGTT